TTTCTTTCTATAAATTATCTAGGATACCCGTTACTAAGGCAAATCCGAGTCAGCTTGACTGTTCTATGGTGGGGCTTAAAATCGGAATACTGAGGTGTTTGATCACTATAATTATAAGATTAACGGACATTTAGTTCTGGGACGATGAACTGGACAAACTGACTCGGATTTACCTTAGCAACGGGTATCCCATAGAATTTATAGAAATAATTGTAGGTGTCATAAAGAACAGGTTTCAACTCGGATTTTATGAAAATAAGATCAGGAATAGTTGATGGAGTAACACAGGTCGGGTGGCAGTGGTCGAGTGAAATCCCTGGACGAGCGAGATAAGAGACAGATCCTACGGAACAAGAGGGAAACTCTGATAGGACCTGAAGGAAGAGGATTGTTGAATAGACTACAGCTTTGAATCAAAACTCCGAGCACAATGGAGGACATCGAATAAGTGAATAGCCCAGGACAGAAGGAGAGAAAGAGGATAACCTAATTTACTAATCATTTTGATCAACTATGAAGTATCACGCCTTTGATAAATTAGGCAAATTTTCATATACCAATTGATAATTCAACCATAAGTGCCTGACGTGCAAAATAGCAAAACTTAAAAATGGCCTAGCTCCATTAGTTTAATCTTATGTGAGCGAAATTTGGCTTATCTATAGTTTTCAGATGTATCACCATTATTTAAAACGTAAGTCTCAAATTATAAAATCTACTCCCCTAGTTACATATTTAGGCAAGATGCAGGACAATACTTAATTAACTCGAATACTTGACTGCATAATTTACCTTTCGTGATAAATCATATATAGTTCCTTGGTAGCCGAAATCTCAAAGTAGTTGACTTACAGTCTCTTTGGAATTAAAACAAATTCTAGAATATTAAACGTAGATGAATATGTGCCCATTGGCCTAAGAATAGCCTCCAAATACTTCATTTTGAAGTCTTCATTAATCTGTTAATAGTTGTCCCTTAAGAAGCAGAATTTTTTGTTCATAACTCTTTCAATAGACTAAGTTTAATGGTAAAGGCTAATGCCTAAATATAAGGCGATAACAATCAAATAAAAAGCCTGACACTCAATCTAAAATTTTATCTATTTAATTAATGTGAATATACTACTCAATATAACTAATATAAGCACCATTAATTTAATATATAAATACTATATTACGTCACGGATAGTTAATCTACATTTTACTGAATTTACCAAGAAGAGTATCAAACCTTGTAAATATGTCAACAAAGCTAATAATTTTTTAAAATTTGAGGGTTTAGTGACTTTTATTCTATAGTAAGTATTGTTATAGCCGTCGTCATAACCAGCCAGTAAGCAGTTATGCTTCAGCTCACGCGACATCACTCGTATGATGACGCATCTGAACTATATCCCTCAGGGCCCGAGCGAGCCTAGTCATTGCATCAAGCCCCCATGTTCAGCCAATTAGAGCATGGAATTAAAAATAGACAAGGCTTTTTTAAACCAGAAACTCCTTGGGAGGGGGCGGCTTCTCGGCCACGATCTGTTAACCGTTGTGGCTCTCTTACACTAACAACATACTTCGAAATCGTCCCAGTTTGTCCAACTCCGAATCCTCGCCTATGGCTTTTCTTGCTTTATACAAGTGGTACTCCATTACTCGTTTTCTTATTTTACTATACTAGGCTGGGGTACTTCATACAGTTGTGCGAAGTCTGAGTATATATTTTGAAATCTCTATAAGTAAAAGGGTTCTTTGATATAAGTATTATTTTTCGACGCTATCTAATAGATTTTTTTTATGAATGTTATATGAACTTGATGTCAAGAAGCAAATTTGTCTAATGCCTTATAGGCATCAAAAGCGTTTTCTATTGCTATCACTCGTAAAATTTATATTTAATAAAGCTTAACTTTATGGTATCATTAGTAAAAGTGATGAATTATAATAGATTTTTTACATAAATTTTACTTTCTATTGAAATCTTCGAGTAAATTTGAACGAACATTAGCCCATATGACAATAATAACACTTATACTTATTATAATGGATAGAAACTTGATAGATATATTATACAATTCAACTGAATGGTTATAAATTTTTTATCAGGCTTTTAGAAATTATAGTTTATAAAGAATGAAAAAAGTTCTAACTAAAAATTTAAATCCTCGCTGTGAGTATATTTGATCGACTAAATGATTATCGCTTTTTCCTTCTCTATCAATTTCATACCTTTTATCGGTATGATCCACATCTATAATCCGAATAAAGGCAAGATTAGGAGTTTAGGAAGATCGAAAAGAAATAATTTAATTATGGAAACTGCCTACAGCCTATATTACAGAAAAAGATGAGAAATCCGTTTCCTTCCATACGACCCAAGCGCTTAATTTTCGCCCTATATCATCTCGGAATGTCTTTAAGAGCCCGAAAAATTAGCGTTATTTGCATTAAAACGCCATTGTCATGTTTGTGTGGATGCTTTCTGGATCCAAATTACCCGGAGAAAACCAGTTTTAGTGAATAATTCCACTTTGTCAGGAATGAATAAAAAATTCATTTTCATGGCAAATTTTTATGGATTGATTTTGTAAACAACTATAAGCCAATTAAATAAATGAAAAGTATTTCGACTTTTTTGGGCCTCAAAATATCCCTCTTTAGTGACCTAATTATGGTTTCCCTTATCCTTAATGTAAGTGAGCTATAATTTTCCACACCGAGATTGCCTTTTAGAATTCACTAGCGCGCACAGCAACCAAGGATACCTGATAGGCATGATTCAACTGTAGAGCTTCTTGTCTGTCTTGCCATATCCGACCTAATTCAGTCCAGCCTTCTTCTAGACTGTTTAGGCGATCGTTTAGATCAGCATATGGCTTGTTTGCCTCATCGAGCTCTTGACTGTCACCAAGTTCCTCCTGCGTCTTGTTGCCCATTTCTGTGTCCTGAATGGTCGTTGTTACCGCCGCTTTTGACGGCTGCTTATACAGTGGACGCTCTGACACGACCTGGCGACCACAACTAAGAAGTCGATTGAACTCAGTTTGTCTAGCCATAATCTCAGCCCAGAGCTGTTGGTGTTCGCCCAATGTCCGTTGGGCATCAAGCAGATTCTGAGGTCGGGTATCCGTAGAGGCAGCGATTCTTTGCATGCGCCGAAGCCAGAGCTGGATTTCATCAAGATCCTGTATAGAAGAAATTAAAATAAATTACTTATGATGGTATGGTATATTGTCAATTATTGATTACCATGCATTACACTAAGCCACGGACATATTTATATGGGAGTTTATCTAAGTTCAATTAACAAAGAAAATTCTAACCGGATTAAATTAATGGATCATAAAACAATCAAAAGTGGGAAATTCTTAATATTTTTTTTTATTATGGTAAGAATTTTCAGCAAGTGTTAGGCCAATATTTGGTGTATTCCAGGCGTTTTAACGACTTTTAAGTCATCCTCTTTAGTGAATACGATGCTGGTCATTAATGAACTGGGAAAACGATTCAAAACCAATTATATACGGAGAAATGAGATTGAAGCCAAACAAGACAACCTAATCTGAGTTTTCACATTGACGATCGAATTTCCAGTTGTATTTGCAGTGTTTGCTTTTCTTAAGGGAAAACACTACGAGATAATGTATTGTTGTACTGTCCAGATAAGTCTTGCATAACACTTCGATTAGAACATGCTACATTTAACTGGTATATAGAGGAACAAATAAATAAACAAATTAAAAAATGCACATAAAGAAATCAAATAAGTATAATTATTTCACCTGTAAAAACTTTTGCAACTGTACTGACGCTTCCAACTTCTTACTTCTTGCATCTAGCATCTTTTTCAATAATTTCCTGCCCGCTTCCAAGCACTTGCTCATGTTTTTCACCTGATCAGCGGCCCGCCATTCACTTGATGCCAGTCTTAGATCCCGCCTTGGTCCCGCCTCCCGGCGTAGGCAGTGTTTCAGTCGGGCAGCCGTTTCTTGAGCTTTATCCAGCCGCGAATACAATCTGGCCAAATCAGCCGGCCAGCCAAGTAACCGTCGCTGCAGGTGCACTACTCCCGTCAGATCGAGATCCAGCTCATCGGTGGAGGCTAGAAGACGGGTTTTCGCGACCAACCAGCTCACAAGGCACTCGTACTCGTGGTGGAAGCTAATGAATTTGGCGGCCACATCCAATCGACATCCGCGGGCCCGAGAAGAGCGTTCAAGACCCCGCCAGCTGGCCTGAAGAGCAGAACAGATGACAAGCCTGCCAGTGGTAGCGGCATCTTCTTCTTCTTCGGTAGATGCCGACTGATCGAGAAGTTTGCGCTTCTGACGAACCAGCTCAGACTCCAGTGAAATGATCGCCTCGAGACGCCGGATTGCCGGACCGTCGAGTTCTGCTCGAAAAGTCGTGTAACGGTTGGTAAGAATTGCGAGTTGAGCAGCAACTTTATTGCGTTCAGCCTGCAATCTGGCCAGTTCCATTTCGGAGAGTGGAGTGGGCGCATCGTCTGTAGAGGGTGGAATGTGTCTGATGTCATCGGCATTACCGAAAATAGTCGCTTCCGGTTCATCCGACACGTCATCCTCAGGGGAGGAGGACCTACGATCCATGTATCTGCCCCAGTTAGTGGCAATGGTTGGAAGCGGTTGGATATTATAATCGAGACTCGAAAGAAATTCGGACCTTGAAAAAATTTAGAGATGAGAAAAATGTAATTACATGAACGAAGCGTATGAAATATAGCTTCTAAAAGAGTACGTGATTGCTATGAAGAATTGGCATAAAAGCAGTAAAATGGAGCTAAATTAAGATTAGGCAAGCTCAAATGAAAACATGAGTGAAGGTATTTAGAGAAGCTGGGTTCTGAAGAATCCCTTACTAGATTGATACCGGCGTACCTTTATTTCGTTTGAGGAGGTGGGTCGAAAGGTTTCGTAGATTGGCCGCACCGGATACCGTGGGAGGATTATCTTGGACTTTTGCATGTTGAATAACGCCAACAAGGTCTCGGCTCACCGTCCTACTACCCCGATGGCTCTGTGATGACCTTTCGTCCGTCATGTGACGGACATCTTCAGAGCCAGAAACCATTATTCACG